CGCGCTTGATGGCGGTGTTAGTTTTATAAGAGCTATGTCAATTCGGACAAATCATCATAAGCTCGAAACAGATGTCCTTATCAAGCGCGGTTTGAGCAATTTTGATGATAAACGTTATTGCGAAAATGGGGTAGATACATTTGCACTTGGGTATTGTCATGATGATAGAGATATATTTGACATTATCTTTGCAAACTAAAATTTTATCTAAACTTTAAAAATAATGTTTGAAAATTTGACAGTAACAAATAGCTACAGTAGCAAAATCAAATATCTAATGATGGACGGCAAACCATTGACAGTTGAAATTAATAATGAAACATCAGGCATATGCTTTAGTGGTACCCGTGACAAGTTAAAACTTTCGCTCATCAGATCTGATGACAGCGAGTATTTTAATTATCTCGAACAATTGTATCAAAAGTTGCTAGCGGAATTTAACAACTTTCACTGTCCGATTAGTCAGCAAAAATACACCAAACTTACAATTGATCTTGATCGGTCAAAGTTGTATTTTATCGACAAAAAATACCCTCTTAACAAATCACAAATAAAAGATTTGTTTGAGTCCCGTCGTTATGTGAGCGGTAAAGTAAAGTTTAGCCTCTATCACCATGATAATGAAATATTTTTGATATCTACAGTTGAGACATTAACAGTTGGTAATGAGGTATAATACCACTTACCTTACTGGAATTCTAATGCGTAATTTAGTCCACAATCGCCACGCTCTGCTAAATCGTAATGATTTGGAAAATTGAGTCTGACATATCATTTTGCTTATTCTAGCAAATCACGTAATTAAATTTTACCTGTTACCTAGGTATTTTGCAACAGGTGTTCTATTGTATTTGTTTGGAGGTCTAGAGGGGGTTGTTGAGCTCGGATTCTTAGCGCAATTATTGATTGCAATAGGTTTTCTATTACGTTACCTAGGTATTTTGTATTTGTTGAGCTCGGATTCTTAACGCAATTATTGATTGCAATAGGTTTTCTATTACGTTACCTAGGTATTTTGTATTTGTTTGGAGGTCTGGAGGGGGTTGTTGAGCTCGGATTCTTACTTTCTCCTACTACTGCTACGACTGAACTTTCTTAAAGATAACTAAAAATCTTATGGATAAATAAGCATATAACAGACACGAATATACCGTGTCATGTACACATGCACGAAGGACACATGTAATTTTGCAATCCATCTGAATATTAGGAAAGCCTGAAAAAGTATTAGCCAATAATTTACATAGCTTCTTCTGAATGTTAACTTGCGACGAATTTACTATCATAACAAGCTTGTGCTTACATGAGTCAAATTTACGATGTAAACACAATGTTTCTAATAAAACATTAGACCCATGCCAACATAATAATAATAATAATAATAATAATAATAATAATAATAATAATAATAATAATAATAATAATAATAATAATAATAATTATTATTGTTATTGTTGTTGTTATTATTATTATTATTATTATTATTATTATTATTATTATTATTATTATTATTATTATTATTATTATTATTATTATTCATATGAAAAAAATTTTATAAATAATTCCTTAACACAATTTAGCTACATGGTCGTAACACTTTACACCATAAAAAAGAAAGTTTTATGTAATTAAGCTTTCTTTTTCATCAGATGTAAATTATCATGAGGTAAAAAAAATTACATAAAAAGAGCTCTTATGAATTTACACAAAGGTGTATATGAACATGACATTTCTATACATGGAAAAATGCATCTGCAATCAAATTATCTTTTCCTTTGATGTGCCTATGTCAAGATTGCACTCCTACAAAAATAAACTCCATCTCAACAACCTCTGGGTTTTTTTTTTTCATTCTGCCGATGAAAGTGAGGGGATTGTGATCACTAAACACAATAGCCGGAGAAGGACCCAAGCTAATATAAACTTCAAAATGCTGTACTGCTAGCATTAATGTCAAACATTCCTTCTCGATTGTTGAGTAGTTTCTCTGGTGTTTATTCAATTTCTTAGAGAAATAACACACTGGGTGCTCAACACTATTTTTTGTCATCTTGAAGCAAAACTACTCCATACCCAATATCACTTACATCCACAGATTGTTAGAACGGCTGACTGAAATCTGGAGCTGTTAAAACTGGTGCACTTTCAAGTATGGCTTTTAATCTATCGAAAGCTCGACATTTTTCAGTCCAAAGAAACTTGTTTTTCTTTCTCAACAAATTACTCAGAGATTCAACAACATCGGAAAAATTAAAACAAAATTAGCGATAGTACCCAGCCATACCCCAAAATCGCGTCAGCTGTTATCAATTGACAAGCACAGGAAATTAAAAAATATCCTTGACCTTAGCATCTATAACTTTATTCTTACCATGTTCCACAATATGTCCTAGAAAAGTAACACACATACGGAAGAACTTACATTTAGATAAATTAATAGTCAAATTTGCATCCTTGAGTCTGTCGAAGAACTTAGGAATTGTAGCTATATGTTCTTTCCAGGTGTTATTGTTGATGATGACATCAATATATGCATCACAATTGTCTAGAGTCTAGACCATAAGTAATCATATTCATAAGGCGTTGAAAAGTACTTGGAGAACCTTTCATCCCAAAAGGCATTACTTTGTACTGGTAGAGTCCATCTGGAGACACGAAAGCCGAAATTCCTTTTGCTCTTTCCGTTAATGGAATATGCCAAAAAAAACCTTCAGAAGGTCGTATTTAGTGACGTATTTGGCAATTCCAATTTTGTAGATACAATCATCGATTCTTGGCAATGGAAATTAGTCTGTTTTTGGCACACTTTTCACCTTCCGTTAATCCACACACATTCGGAAAGTTTTATTCCGTTTGTTATAAAGGGAATTAAACCGATATTTAACATTACCTAATGTATGTCAGGTCTAGGTCTATTTTAAGTAACCATGAAAATCAGTGTGGATGAACTTAACTATTTTCTTTTAAAATCTAACTTATTTCTAGACCTCCTCTCATTCCAATGTAAGTTTATGGCCTCAAAAGGGAAAATGGACATTACGTCGTAGGTTTGAGACCATAGTGCCATTTACATGCTTGTTATGGAGTCTAAACATTTATGGCTGTCGTCGGCATTAATAAGGTTTAAACTGAGCAAGGTTAATGAGTTATGGTGTTATAAATTTTAGCTTGTTATTGTCAACATAGACATAGACAAACAAAACAAAAACACGCGCAAAACATACAAACATAAATAGCAATGACTGAGTAATAAAACCGGTTGTTTGCTGTCTTTAACTTATTCTTGATCCCTGGCTACCATTTCTTCCCCTGTGACTTCTTAGGGATAAGAGGAAGTTTTGTTAGTAGCCTTATAATGTCTGAAGTCTAACCTTAAAAATGTCTGTAGGTGGGTGTCAGAGCAGCATGAACTTATATCTGGTCTGCTATTGAGAGTTGTTTATTTGTCTAAGCTTACCACAGTTTTAAGTTTCTTGGAGTTTAGAACAACTGTCCAGAAGTCATCTGCATGTTGACTGTTTGCTGCTGATTCCTGGATTAGCTTCCCCATTCACCATTCCGTGTCCTGATGGCTGAGGTGAACATTCACCAATTGGTTTGGCTCGGTCGTTATCGGCAGCTTATCTTAATTTTTATGTGGCTGTTGTCTCTTTTGTATGTATTGGCTGTGCAGCTGTGGTACTGCTGTAGTTCTCGGAGACTGAATTTGTCTTTGTTTTGTTCCTTTCCTTGTGGTTGCCTTGGAAATGTTTTTCCTTCTGTTTTTTTTTCTCTCATCCTCGCCCCTTGCCTGTTCTCCTGTTGAGTTGTCCTTACTATTGCAGTTGTTGTTAGCACTAGGGTGATGTTGTTATTCTTGTAGGTTACATGGCAGAAGCGTTAGTTCACTCTGTTGTACCTGCGTTGTTCTTCTATGACCCGGTATTTTTGGGGCTTGGGGCTGCTTCTCCAGTTGTTCGAATTCTCCTCCCATACTAATAGTAGAGTTGTTCTTTTTGCTTCACCTCTTAACCTCCACACTGAAGCATGGTTTATTCCTTTGATTGCGTTCAGGGTCTGGGAGGGAATCATTATTTCATCTCTGGATATCTTATTTATGTGTCACTGCTCTTTTGACTGAAGACTATGGTACGACTGACTTACTTAAAAAGAATTAAAGACTATGGTACGACTGGCTTATTTAAATAGAATTAAAGACGTATGCGGCGTGTAGTTTACACCCTAAATGCATGCAGAACACGCTATTAAGTGCTTAGGTTGTGCGCACGGCGCATTATTGAATTACTCCCTGAAATGGGGAAAATCCTACCCCTAAAAGAGATTTATCTGGTAGTAGTGACCTATTCAATTTTGCGGTCTTAATTACTCTTTTCAAACAATAGGCAAAAAATTCTAAACCTGCCCTCTCCATAACCGCCTTGAACCTGTAAAATATAAAATCCTATTTACTTTGTATCTTTTAGAATTATTTAAGTTTGAACCTGAGTAAAGACATATATTTATTAATTTTTATGATGCATGCGGTATTTTGTAGGTTACCGTATAGGTGTATATCAATATTTAGATGGTGTATATGTGTAACCATATTTACACGTATTAGCGCAAGGCATATATGAGGCATGTAGGCGGAGATTTATATGACCTTGAAAGGTTGGTCGCCCATTAATCCAAATAAAAGGCTGTGTAAGAGTGGTAGATTCCTGAAATATAGGGTTGGAATGCAAGAAATTATGCCCCGTGTTGTATTTCTTCAGAAGATTTCCTGGTGATTATTATTTTTAACGTAGCTTTAACAATTTTTCAGTCAGATTGCTACGATGTCTGCAGTGTGGCAGTTTATAGTGATGTCTAACACTGGGACATCATGCCGCACACATATGGCATGATGTTCCACCAAGTCACATTATCCTGACACCAGGCCAACCAGTCCTAACACTAACCTCTTAATGCTGAGCGCCAAGCAAGGTAGCTGTTAGTACCAATTTTGTAAGTCTTTGATATGACTCGATGGGGATCGAACCCAGTACCTCTCGCATCCAAGGCGGACGCTCTGACAACTAAACCACCGGAGCGGTTATTTCCTGGTGCAAACTCTAGGCGGCACACCAGTAGAAAGAGGTGGAAGAAGTTAAGAATGGAAGGAAGGATAACGGTGGAAGAGGTGGAAACGCAAGGGACAAAAAGGAAAATGGAGGCAGTAGAAAGAAGTAGAAGGAAGGAAAATGAAAGGTGGAAGCCAAAGAAAGAAGGAAGGAGGAGAATGGTTGAAGAAAAAGAGTAGAAGGGACAACACAAAGGATAATGACTCTAACATAAATATCTGGAAATTCCGAATAATAAATTAACTTGTTAAATGAAAATTGAATTAAGCATGTCAATTAATGTGCATATTATACTGAACATAATTTGAAGTTTCATGTTGAATATATTAATTAAATCGATTCTTTACATTTTATAACATTTTTTTTTAACCTTGAGTTTGTTACATGTTACTTATGGATGCCGCATTCGCTCAATTGGGTCTCGAAATGTGTTACTGCCATCTTCTGCAGTATTATTTATAATATCGTAGCTGGATTGTGAAAACAAGTATATTGTTTACCCATCTGTGGATGCTCACATGTACCCAAAACTGGAGAAGGGTATTTAGGGTTAACAATGAGTACCTTACATCACAAAAATTATACATCACGAAATAGCTTAACCTGATGTCCTGTAGAGTTAGTTAGCAATTCTCCTTTCTATACTTCCTTAAACACAAATGTACTACATCTACTTTCGGGAATGTTATCCGGGAATAGAATTAACATGTTTAGAAGTTAGAATGCCTATATACGTGAGAAAATATTGTAATTTGAATTCTGTTTTAAAACCGATAAAATTATATTAATAACTAGCTATTACCCGTCATAGGATGTGAGTGATAAAAAAAAGCTTTAAAAAAGTTTTAGAAAAATTGGGATGAGCGAGTTAAAAAGAAAGTTTGGGTATAAAAGTACAAACAAGTATTGAAAAAGTTGGGATGCCACTGCAAGTTTCTTTTAGAACCTGTTTCCTTTTGTTTGGCAGCCGTGACACACAGAAAGACAAAATGGGTGTTAATATACAAGATACTGTTGCTATGGGTTGTTTACTCCAACTTCGGTATTACATGCAGCATTTCCATAACCATGGCTTGGAATCTTTATTTTGATTATAACCGCTATGAGGGTATTCAGTGTATGAAAATTAACATTAATCTTTATACTTACTTTTCTTGCATTATGTCTCGTTGCAGACGTCTTTCTATATAAATACGGTAGCTATAGAAACAGCACCTCCTGCAACATAACCAATTGATCGAAATGTTTTTGTAATGATTCCTCGTTTACAGACTCTACCAGTGATATGCCCAGCAGCACGTGATTTTCTTAGATGATGCATATCCAGCACGAGAAATACTGCTGTATTTCCAACTGACTCAAATGGCAATGAATAGTCGGTTATGCACTTCGTGCTTTTGCGACTGATTACAGCCCTGGGATAGGCCATTTCTCCTGGGATGGGCGATAGCCCACTTGGGTGGTTTACCACCTGAGCCGGATGTCACTCGGTGTGTGACATTACTCTCTAGTGAGGCTTTTAGCCCCTAATGCTGGGATTTTGGCAGGCCGTGCTGCCTGATCCGTCCTTGCGCTTTGGCTTGTCCGGGGTGTTTGGGATTTGTGGAGCGGCAGGTAGTGCTGCCTGACCTGCCCCTTGATTTGATGCTTGCCTGGCAATGTGAATAGTATAATGCATCTTTTCGAAATGGCTGACAGTGTAAGTCTATTCTGAATGGCAATTGAGTTGGTATTGGTGGACGTTTTTCGTGGTTCACGTCTAGTTGGTGATTATTTTGTTTCTTAATTAGTATTTTCTGCTTCCTTCACTCTTCTGTCGAGTTTTGTGTATACCCTAGAGCGTCCATGTGTGAGTACTTCCTCTTGGCGGCAAGGGCTGTGACGACAGCAAGGAGTAAAGTGTACCGTTTTGTCCTTGTATATTCTAAATCCCCAGATCTGCGTCTAGCTTGTGATTGAGTTTAGGTTGTTTTAAATTTGCTTGATGAAAGTTGGATTGGTAGGGTTGACTGCTCTTTTCATATCTAACTGTCATCGGCGAATTGTGATAGGGCCATTGTTAGGTCATTTTCGTTGGATAGGTTGTTGATCATGAGATTGAAGAGGGTAGATCTGATGACGATAATCTGGAGGGTCCATTTTCTAGGGTGTATATTGGTGAGGTTTAGTCCCCCACTCTGATTCTAATTTTTTGTCGAAGAATGAATTTTCTGCGGACGTTTGAATGCCTCTTATCTCTACTGTTATGTTTTCCACAGTTACCTTCTACGTCATCCATTACAGCCTGGGTAACATATATCAAAGGCATCTGCGAAAAATATTGTATCAAACATTCCATCTTCGATCTGATGACTGAAACTCTTTCCTGTTAAGGCCCAAGTCACAAAATGTTCAGTGGCCCCGAGTGACCGAGTGGTCTAAAGCGCTCTTCGTTACGGATCACTGCCATCTCACTTCAGTCTGCGTGGGTTTGAGTCTAAGATTCGGCGAATGTAGATATGTGAGAAAGCCTGCCAGTAGCTTCTCGTGGGTCGGTGGTTCTTTCCGGTGATTTCCCGATTTATTCCTCCACCATTAATACTGGCCACCATGTACTGCCTATCGTGTGCTAAAAAAATGCCGTTAAGCCCCAGAACAACAACAACAAAATGTTCACATTTGGAATCAGAACACAATTAATAATTCCGGTTCAGTACCCACGAATGTAATCCCAGTCTAAATCATTTTTTCTGTCTGCTTTTGGTGGTGATACAAGAGTTAGATTTTGGCATTTCTGGTAAGGATTTAAAGCCAATTGTTTATTCTTTAGAATGTGAGCTTATGGTGTCTTTGCTTGTGTGTATTTTGGCGACAGTGCACAGTGAGTAATAATGCCATGGTGATGATTCGGAAGTGAAATCTGTGTTCCGTTGCATCGTGTTTTGTTTACAATTCAGCCTCTTAAAAAATGGAGATCAACCCTTGACAAGAACTTCACCGTAAAGTCATCTTTGAAGGTATTTTAGATTAACATATGATTTAAATTGATTGTCACACAGTGGAAAGTTCAGTAATGAAAAACAAATGTAGAGACTATATAGTAAAATTAATTGTGTTCTATGGACAGTTGGTATTTGCCGCCAATTATTGATCTTTGCAAAGACGCAGGCACGACGGATAGCTTCTTCCTTCTTTTCTTTGGACAGTGGATGCCCATTAGGACTTATACGATAGACTTCAAGTCCGAAATCCAACTCGTCAAATGGCAAGATTTGTTCTTGTACCTTGCCACAGCAGTCGATTGATCCATAATAAATAACCTAAATAGCCTGTATCTGTACTTATTCGACGAGAGAATGTTTGTAATAACCCAATGATCACTTCTCTGCTAAATGGGAACTTGGACTGACTTCATTTAAAAACTGAGTTTTGTTCTTAATGCGTCGCCTATCGCGAGGATGTTGGTCTGCATTATTCTGAAACCAAAGAGTCAGAAAGATAAAAGAGCGTGTACATACATATATACATACATACATACATACATGCATGCATGCATGCATGCATGCATGCATGCATGCATGCATACATACATACATACATACATACATACATACATACATACATACATACATACATACATACATACATACATACATACATACATACATACATACATACATGTGTGTGTCGATAGATAGATTTTTTAGTATTCAGTATTCTTCTGAAATGGGACTATATATTCAAAAACTGATAGTCAAATATCCATAACGGAAATGTTTGATCTTCTAGCAAGAAACTTATGCTGATCTTAATATCTACCTATAAATTATTCTGATCGCTAATCGAGTGGTTTAGTGACGTTATTTGGCACAAGGACGAACGGACGAGCATCTTCGACTAAGCTTTACTTCTTCTTTCAATATATCTGAAGATGATACTGGATGAAATTTGGTAATGTTGCACGGTATTGATTTAAAATGTGGCTACAACAATCGGAATTCTTGTTTCAGGTTTATCTTATTTTTTTTCAGGAGGTATATTTTGCTAATGAATTATAGATATTTTTGTGGATTATGTATTTTATGATTTTCTTGGTCTTGCAACGGGTATGTCGCATGCGCACACAATCCTTAGTTATCTACAATGATCTTAACAGTAACATACCACCGGTCCGAGAGGATGTAGTGCTAGCTATTTGTTCAGTAGACACGTTGGGTTCAAGACAAATACAATATGTTAAAACGGCCTGGATGACAGTTAGTTTGAACTGCAGCAAGCTTTTAAGTAAACAATAATTTTTAAAATTATGAGATAGGGATGCGGCCCTCATTTACACCGGCATTGTTGATTTGTGTCAATAATGACCATTATATGAACACTGTATGCATGAATTTAGGGTTTGGTTGCATTAATTTCTTCTGATATGAGGTTACATAGGCTTGACATATAAAACGAAATATATTCGCATATTTTATTCATTATAGCGTTCCAAAATACAGACCTTTTCACCACACTAAAAGAATTTATTTGTATGACTCTAGAGCATCCACACGTGCATATCATGCAATCTTCCTGCTGATTTTGAAACGTTGCGGTATGATTCTGGGTGATCTGTAAGTTGTACATTGTAAGGGCTTTGTGCGTTATTTGAACCCAGTTATTTTTCCCACATGTATTAGTTGGATTTACTCGAATCATTCATTTTTAAGTATGCAAATTGCTAAGATTTTTTTCTTCCAAATATGTATGTAAAAACCGGTTTACATAGGTCTTTCAATGAATGTTACATGGATCTATGATTTAAAAACAAAGGCAGATTACTCAGAATGATGATACTAACATAGTTTAATCAAAGTTCATTCAGTCCTGATTACTGAATGATATGCATCTAAATTGTCATGACAATTATTGATCACTAGATTTTCAGGCGCCAATGCAATCTTCTTTACTTGTACTGCAGTATAAAAGCCGATTTGTTTTTCCTAGATCAT